ATCATTGAAAATAGGATTTTCAGAAAAAGAAAAGCGCAAGAATCCATAATATAATAGTATTAAATGGTTTAGTAGTGAGAAGAAAGAAATATAATAGAGATGAATAGATGATGATGATATTTTCAATTGAACAATTGTAATTGCAGTAGCAAGATTAATTTTTTGGAAGACAGTAACAAGTATAATTTTTTGGAATGCTACAAATGAGATAAATATTACCAATTAACTGAAATTTATAGATGAAATGATGATTTTACTGTTAGAAATTTTTTTTTAAAAAATAAAGAACGAACAATGAATAGCCAACGGTCAACGGGTGGCTCTTTGTTCATAGCAACAGGCATAGCCTGCATGCATACCGGCTGGCAGCCTGCCAGCCCCCCTCCCCCCACCCTTTTTCAAATTTTTAAAATATTTTTTTTTTACGGGCCAGCGAGTTAATCGCGACTCATGAAAATGCTACCCTCGAAATCCGCGAGTCACACCTTCTTTACCCGTGAAACGTCAGCTCGGGTCATTGGTCGGCCCACGGTCCCGGGTCGATCCAGACAGATTTTCACTCGTTTGATCAGCCCATCCGTCTTGACACCTCTAATTCCACTTAGTTGCAAGCAACCTTGCGCCACACATTTTTCGTAACTGTTGTCGGTAGCACTCGCTATGCATCTATCTTTTATGCCATCTTCATCTTTGCAATCCACTGTATATGTTAATTAGATGATGTTAAAGGTTTATTTTTTTATGAAATAAAGCGGCCAGAACTGATGCTCACTGCTGTATTGATACGTGCAGAGATTATCAACGGTATCAATAAAATGAAGAGCAGACAACCAATGATAACAGAACTTGACAGGGTCTGCCTAAGAACAAAACGCTCCCCAAATCATTATCTGCATAGACTGGCAATAAGTTTTCCAAAGCATCTGCTGCAGCTTTGCTCGACCTTGGCTGCAACAAAAGGAAAATAATGTGAAAACATGCATTTCGTAGTACCTAACTGTTTTCAAGACTGGACTCGAGAAACCTGAGCAATCTGGCGAACGATGAGATGACCATCGATTCCCCATCCATTATCAACCGGAAATAGAAACAATGGTACAAATACTAGTATATGAATTCTGCAGAACTCCATTTTAGCTTCTCTGCTTCAATTTGCCAAGATGTTTGCCTATACTCAGGGGCGAATCCAGCCCTGAAGTTCAGCACGGGCGGCCGACGATCATTGACTGTTGACCGCAACGATG